TTAGGGTCAAATCTCCTCTGACCCTAATGTTTATGGTTGTTTTAATCACCGTGTGCTCTGTAGAAACATCTACGTCACATTTCTGGTCTCAGTTTTCACTCAGACTCATTTAAAATTCACTGATGAGAGCATGGTCAACTCAAGAGACAGCCCTCAAAGGAAAGTTAGCGAATATTTCAGGTGATCCAAATCTGTAGTTTTCCCCTTTTCATGATGTTTTAAAACTGTGTAAAAGTGATAATCTAACCCTGTGAAATAATGGAGGCAACAACTAAGCCCATACCCCGCCCCGTACAGCCCCATGCAATTTGAATTCAGCTCTGTTCAGCTTAACCAATAGTGTTTGAAATCCGCTTAAAGAGCAAATTGCAGGTAAAAAAAAATTCTACTTCATATTAAATGCTGTATAAAAATATGTGAAATGCTTATTGTGAATATTTTGTTTTAAATACATAACAGCAGAGTTTTATAGTAAAAAGTGGCCTTTCTCAGCAAAGCTTCTAAAAAGGCTCTTTTTCCTAAATCTGAACCTCTGACGTAACCAAAGGGAGTTAGAAACTAGGCGCTGCCTCAGCTCAGTGTGGAGAGTGGGTAGTTTTAGGGTAGAGAGGTCATGTTATCCAGTCAGTGTGTGTGTTTACTAGTGTTGGATTGTGTTCATTTTGATAAACTATAGTGTGTGAAGCAGGGGTGGCGTTAGGCCCGGCTACTTGGGCTCAAGCCCCGAATGTTTTATGAAAAGCCCCGGATCTAAATCGTGGAAGTAACATGCAGTACCAAAATCCAACAGAGAGGGAGCAGCTGGCAGTAGTTTGTATACAGCCTGCCTGAGCCTCCACCACTGAAGAAGAAGCCCTTCAGCAGCCGCCTTCTTCTACGGTCTCTGCCTGAAACGCTTGTGTGAAGATGGACATAAGGATGTTTTTTAGACCAAAAGTACCGCGACAGAACCCCAGCTTTGATGAGACTGGTGCTGACTCAGGTTTGTGAGTCTTATTTGAAAATATTTGTTGTGCTGCTGGTTTGCCTAAAGTTAGCTTACTATCAGGTAAAGTTGTTGGAGAAAGAAAGGGAATATTTACTATCATCTCACACTAAACCCTAACAGGAACAATATTCTGCCCTGAATATGCTTAATATGTAGCTTCAGATTAAAAATTATGCGGTACAAGACAAATACAGTATATATGATGTCGACTAGTGCGTGTCACGTGTGTGTGCGTGTGCACGCGTGCGTGTGTGTATTAAGCCCCGGATCTTCTTCAGTCCTAAATCTGCCCCTGGAGTGAAGGCTGTACCAACTCCAGCCTGTCTGGACATCGAGCCCACGGGTTTCCAGAGAAGAGAAACACCTCTATCGCCGTGCCTGAGGGCGTTTGTGCAGCTGAAAAAACGGGACTTCTGTAGCCCACATTGGTCGGTTACCGGGACAGGGAGGTCCAAGCTGGGCTCCAGAGAGCCGCGGCGGGGTTTAAAAAATTTTATGCGGATTTCTGGAGCTCAGATTACCATCAGAACCAGGTCAGAACCGACCACCAGAAGAGACACACGGCTCAGCGGGCCAGTGGAGCTGGTTTCTGGGTTGGAACCGGATCAGAACCGCCGCCTGGACCACCAGGAGAGGATGATGTGCAGCTTTCAAAAATACCAGCTCAACTGGCTCACTGGAGTCTGGGTCGGATCCAGCTCACAGAAGCCCGCATGACCTCCAGAACCGGATCACAGGCGTCTTTCTCCCTCTCTAAGCGCTAAACTACGTTACGTGAACGGATTCTAATGAGTCTGAGACAGCTGGCAGACGCTCATTAGTATTAATATTATATTAACTGACCAATACTATTTTAATTGTCTGGTACATGTCGTAATCTGTAAAAAAATTGTGATGGTAGCGCACGAGTTTAAGCTAGCCTCGTTAACTCACCTGCTGCTCCCCCGCTGCTTCCCCACATTCTCTCTGCGTTGGCCGATGGTTGGTCTTTGCTACAGGGGCGTGCAGTAAACTCATAACTTTATGGTTTTGGTCCATCAGAAGTAAAATTATAAACATTTAAAATTTCCTCTGTGTCAGAGCCGCCATTAGAGTCCATAGTTTTCTCTGGATTAAGCTAACAGGGCTCCCTCAGCTGACGTCGCTTGGTTTGGCAAAAAAAAAAAAAAAAAAACATTTATCACAAAAAATAATAAATAATTAAATGTGTGAAAAAATTAATGTTTTAAACGAGTTTCTATTATGTTTCTCTAAACATTGGTTCATGGGAGTCTAACCTGCAAGTTGCTCTTTAAGGACAGATGTCGATCGCAGAGCGTGCGCCAGAGTTTGAGGATGTACCTAGACGGATGCAGAGTTAGTGACCTTTCTCACTTTTCTCAAAGTAAATCTATATTATATAATTATTTCCAATCTCACCCTCCGTGGGTGGTCTCATCCTTCCAAGCTCGGGTCCTCTCCCAGAGGCCTTGGAGCTTGAGGGTTCTGCGCAGGTTTCTGGACTGAGATGTTGGATGTTTTTCCTGGGATCTGCTTTAGCCACTCCTCCAGTCTGGGGGTTACAGCCCCGCGTGTCCTGGTACTTCCATAGTTTCTCGTGTTCCTTTGTGCGACCATATGACAAAAATTTGTTGCTTTCTTCTGTAACTACAGAAGTGGTGAGACAGGCTTAAGGTGCAATACATTTGTCCATCTCTAGATGGTGCTGTTGTGTAAAAACACTGTATTTCTGCTTTAAAGGGGTCCTTCAGTCATTTTTGTAATACATTTGCAGTGGTCTCTACTAGGAATGAATGCCTTGTAAGTCGTGCTCTGGGGGAAAATAGCTCCGGTGCGCCTGTTTCAGCATGGAGAATTCAGCCAAAGGAGAAAGTAGCTTCAGATTCAATTCAATTCAAAAATACTTTATTAATCCCAGAAGGAAATTGATTGCTGTAGTAGCTCAGAATAATAATAATAATCAAGTCATCAAAGAGTTGTTGTATATTACAATGGCTGTTGGCAGGAAGGATCTCCAGTAACAGTCAGTGTTGCAGCGAAACTGAAGAAGCCTCTGACTGAAGACACTCTTCCGTTGTCGGACAGTCTCATGAAGAGAATGCTCAGGGTTGTCCATCATTTTCTTGATTCTCTGGAGAATGCTTCTTTGCATCATCTCCTCCAGTGGGTCCACAGTCTTCCCCAGAACAGAGCCAGCCTTTTTTATTAGGCTGTTGAGTCTTTTCAGGTCCCTGCTTCTGATGCTACTAGCCCAACAGACGACAGCTGAAGAGATTACACTCTCAACAACAGACTTGTAGAAGATCTGCAGCATCTTGCTACAGACATGGAAGGACCTACGCGTCCTCAAGAAGTGCAGTCTGCTGTGTCCCTTCTTGTAAACGGCTTCGCTGTTCTTTCTCCAGTCCAGTCTGTTGTCCAAGTGAACTCCAAGGCATTTGTATTCCTCAACCACCTCCACTTCTTCTCCCATGATGGAAACAGTGTTTGACTCCACCCTGTTTCTTCTGAAGTCTAAAATTTCACGTTCAAGGTCAGATGATTGTTTCCACACCATGCCACAAAGCGCTCCACCAGCTCTCTGTACTTAGCTTCCTGTCCGTCTCTGATACACCCGACAACTGCAGAGTAATCTGATGCTTGAACATTTCGCCTCTGTTCGTCTAACAGCAACACACCTGTACCACTGACTCTGTTTGCTCTGCAACGTTGATGTTCCATCTCCATAAATAACACAAGCATGGAGGAATTCTGCCTTGTGGTGGAGTTGCTAATGCTAACGGTTAGCTTCTACTAGTTGAGACATTCTCTGCTGTTTGCTGGAAGCTAAACCAACAACAGCCTTCAGCGTTACGAGACAAGAGGAGTCCGTGAATGTTAAGTGACAGAGTGACGTAGATCTGTCAGGATTTTTAAACCCTAGAGTCTGTTTTCTATCAGCAGCTAAAGCAGGAGATAGGTGTAGGAAACTATTTTCATGTTTAGCCTGCATGAAAAACTCAGAGTGACAGATTATAATCAGAAGAAATCATTAAAAAAAGTATTTTCAGTGTTCCATATTTTTAAGTACTGGTGTTCATGCCAGAAGTATTTAAGCTGTGTTGTGGGTCTTTGGAAAGACTGAATCCAAGTATAAAAGTATCTTAACAACTTTCTGATGTTTGACGATTCTGCTGCAAAAACAAAAAACCTTCATCTTTAGCCTTAGGTCAGCTCTGGTTTGTATTGCTTTTAGGTTTGTTTTGGTAATCACACCCCACCTCTTGGTTCTTGTCAGCTAAGCACTCTATAATGGTTGTCTTGTGGTATCATTTTTGTCCAGATAATCTGAGTTTCCTTTTATCCCTGTTGTCCCTTTCAGTTCTGTTCCACCTGCTTCTGCAGAACTTGTGCCGCTATAGACTCTTTACCTGCACATACGAGTTCTGGGTTTGTTTGTGGAGATGGAAATAACTCCTTCCAGCTCACATACACAGTATTACCAAAAGTAATGGAACGGCTGCCTTTACAAAGTCATGACTGTTTGTCCAGGAGTGCATTTATGAGCTCAGATGATCTAATTTATACTAAAGGTGTTCTATCAGGCTGAGGCAAGGTTAGCTAACGACACATCCCTACTCTGGTCCTGCATGATTCCTTCACCGCTCTGACACTGATAAAAACTAACTTACTGTGCATAACGCTGGATTTTCTCATTGCAGTGTGGTTGTTTTGTTTTTGCTTTGATTAGAAACCATACAGATTCTACCTGGATGAGACAAGCTACGTCTGCAGATCTCTGATTTAAAGTGAACGGTGCTTTTTGAGAATGGTGTTAAACTTTCTCTGTTTCTGAATTCCTGTGGTGCATTGGCATCCGTGAAGTCAGGGATAATTATAAACCCACGAAGAATCAACCACTGTTAAATAAATGTTATTCCTGCAGCCAATGTTTCAGCTTTGTGTTTTTTTTTTTTATGTGTCAAATTATTGTGGGTAAGCAAAATAGAACATGTTTTTTATTCTCTCCTAGGAGTCTCCATCCCAGGAGGACGAGCCGTCGGAGTCCCGTCCTCAGATTGACCCATCTGAGCTCGTCCCACGCCTGTGCCACCTGGTGCGGTCCAAGACGGGCTACGGCTTCAACCTTCACAGCGATCGGTCGCGACCCGGACAGTACATCCGATCCCTAGACCCAGGATCACCGGCAGATTCTGCTGGACTTCGGCCTCAGGACAGGCTCGTTGAGGTACGCTCCTTCTGTGTAATACCAGGGTCTTTAAAACCGAAATGTTTCAAAGTTTCTTGATAAGCTGAGAGAAAAATGTCCAGACGAGCATTGTGTGGGTGTCTTTGTTCACAAAAGCACTCGGCTGACTCTGCAGAATGGGGGAAAGGAAAACGATAGGATGATTATTTATAAATGACACGCCGTTTGTCTGCTTCACGTCAGAGTGGAGGATAATTAACAGCATGTGAGAAATTTACCACAAGAGAAGTGCTTTAACCCCTCACCTTGTGTGTGTGTGTGTGTGTGTGTGTGTGTGTGTGTGTGTGTGTGTGTGTGTGTGGTTTAATTTCCACTCAACTTTCCATTTTATCTTCTGTGAATAATAAATAACTATCTGACTGGAACACAGAGCTGTCCGCGTGTTTCCATCGCTCTCCCCTTTACAAATAATCAAAATTTTCTGCATACAAATAAAACAGCAGGACAGTTTTTGGCATTTTGCTTCACTTTCTCACATTAATCAGCTACAGATGTGACACCCCCCCCCCCCCCCCCCCCCCCGAGACGATCACAGCTGACGGCTTTCTGAAATAGAGGGCCAACATGTTCATCTCTGCTAAATGAAAGACAAAAGTCAGATGGTACTTAATCAGAATGTCCACCTACACAGAAAATTCAAAATGCTCAAAATAACTCTGTCAGAGTTGATTTCAACACTTTTAAAGTGTCTATATGGGTCCACCCCAGTAAGTGTTAATTTAACACTTTTTGAAGAGTTGGTACTTTAACTCTGATTTAGTGTTAAAAACCAACTCCTCTAGAGATAAATATTTATCAGTAAATCAGCGTTAAAGTACCAACTCTTCAAAAAGCGTTAAATCAACACTTACTGGGGTGGGCTCATATAGACACTTTAAAAGTGTTGAAATCAACTCTGATAGTTTTTTTGAGCATTTCGAATTTGTTGTGTATACTACAACCAGTGTTAGTTTTCAGAGTTAGTTTACACTCAAGTTATTAATCTCCACCATGATATCATGAATTTTAATATTTTTCAGTGTGCCATGCCAGGAAGTTACCAGTTACACAGACAAACACTGGTTAACTCATGCCTTGTACACCTCATGATTGCTATCGGTCAGAGGGAAAGGATAACAAGTAGAGTCCTGAGCATGTAGTATTAACCATGCATCACATTATTATTGTGACAGTGGAACACACAGCGGTCCCATTCTTTTGACCGGCCTCCTCACTTACGGTACAAACATGACATAACAAGCAAAACCACATTTGCGACAGTTAACGAAGTGCTAACTAAGAACAACACAACTCCCCAAAATAAACATGCATAAACACCCCAAAATAGAACAAACTAACTAAAAACATGACTACCCACAATGCACCTCGCCCACTGCAGCTCCTGCAACTCATCTTTTAGAATAAAAGGGTGGAGTCTACATATCAACTCTGCAGGTGTTACAGCTGCTGTGGGAGCTCAGAGTTAGATTTTCAGGAGTTATTTTGTCCTAAATGACACCTGTAGAGTTGATTAGGAAACACTCCGTTTTAACTCTCATGTCAGTGTTACATATCAACTATATAACTCGTTTTAGTGTTAAATTAACTATTCTTGGAGATTAATTGGACCAACACCAGAAAATAAACTTTTTTGAATTTGCTGTGGAGACCGACGTGCTGCAGAAGCATCCATCACGCATACATTTATTTTTTTATCTGAGGGTAAACACGCAGCTGTCACATTTCTTTCCCAGGATCTTTGGCTTCACTGGCTGGACTTTGGTCCAGGCTGGGCAAACACAACACTGATCGGGTCTAGTTACAGTTACAGTGAGCAGCACCTCTCATTTTGCTAAATTTAAACTCCTCTTCTCATTTAGCCCACTTGTTGACCCAAAAAGAAGATGTTTGTACAATTTAAACACTGTTCTCACACATGAGTAACTAAAACTCTTATAAATGCTCTAAAATCAGAAATTAAACGATGCGAGTTATTTGTAATATTGATAAATAAAATGCCTTTTGCTTGTTATTGGCCCTACGTTGCTGGTGCTCGGAGTCTTTACTGGAGCTTCTGTGGGAACATCCTGCAGCAGGTCACCGGTGGCAACTGAAGTCCATCACTTCCCTGAAATGTTTCCATTAAGACATTAATTCTAGGACATATAATCACATGAGTGTACACATGATCAGTCAGCTATTAACTTATGGTTGCTCTCTTTTCTGACCCGTCAGAAAATGAACTGTAAAGACCTTCACTGGTGTCAGGAATGAAAGAATCGTTTGATTCTTCATGTTTTAAGTAGTTAAAGAACTGAGATTTTTTGAAAATGTCTTCTTGATTTTTTTATATTTCCAATTTTTTCTTATTTTTCTATTAGTAGAAGCTCCAGAGATCTGAAAAAACAAAGAACAGGTGTTGATTACACTCACTGGCCACTTTATAAGGTACACCTTGCTAGTACAGAATCGGACCCCCTTTTGCCTTCAGAGTTGTCTTAATCCTTAGTGGCATAGATTCAACAAGCTACTGGAAACATTTCTTAGAGACTTAGGTCCACATTGACATGATAGCATCACGCAGTTGCTGCAGATTTGTCAGATGCACATCCATGATGTGAATCTCCTGTTGCACCACATCCCAAAGATGCTCTACTGGAATGAGATCTGGGGTCTCATTTATAAAACATTGCGTAGAATCCTTACTAAAACCGTACTTAAGCTCCATCATTATGTCGGGATTTCAGGGTTAGCCCTGGAGTGGTTTAGATCATACCTGACAAATAGAAAGATGTGCGTAAGGATGGGAAGTTATTCCTCAGAGTACTCTGATTTACCCTGGGGGGGTACCACAGGGCTCGATATTGGGGCCTTTGTTGTTTTCATTCTGCCCTAAGGTGATATCTGTCGTACGCTTGGAGTTCACTTTCACCTTTATGCTGACGATTGTCAGCTGTACCTGCCTCTGAACATGTCAGGAGGTCTCTCTATTACTAATCTTATGAACTGTTCGACAGAGATTAAGACCTGGATGAGTGGAAATTTTCTGAGCTTAAATGATCAGAAAACAGAGGCTATATTGTTTGCCCCAAGCAGACATTGTGACTCTTTTTAAATTGACTGTGGGACATTCAATGGCCAACTGAGTGCTTCAGTGACTAATCTTGGTGTTAAACTAGAAAGCGCCCTTAGTTTTGACACCCACGTTAATGGAGTGATCTCCTCCTCCTTTTTCCACCTTCGTCGGCTGTCAAAGATCAAACATTTCCTGTCACATCATGATCTTGAGACAGTAGTCCATGCTTTTATTACGGTGGGATTGGACTACTGTAACTCTGTTTTATTTGGTGTGAGCAAGGGCTCAATGGCCAGGTTGCAAATGGTCCAGAATGCTGCTGCCAGATTTTTAGAGGGCAGGCGCAAGTATGACCACATTACTCTTGTCCTGGCTGCACTTCATTGGCTGCACTTCATTGGCTGCCCATTGATGTAAGGATTTGTTTTAAGATACTTTTGCAGGTTTTTAAAACGTTAAATGGTGTGGCCCCTCCGTACTTGGTGTCATTGCTTCAGCCGTACACCCCTGCACGGTCACTCCGCTTGGAGAACCTCATGCTCCTCTCGGTCCCAAGAACGCGCCTAAAGACACGTGGTGATAGGGCCTTTGCTGTGGCAGGTCCTAAGCTTTGGAACGAGCGTCCTCTCAGTATAAGGGCCTCCACCTCTGTGGCGGTTTTTAAGGCAAGGCTAAAATCCTACTTTTATGATCTTTTAATCTTTCTAACTAGTTTTATTGTTTTACTTAAATGGATCCGTGTATTCACTGTGTTTTTTGTCTGTATCCAATGTTTTTATTTTCTGGACCTAATGTTTTATGTTTTTATTTGGTCTGTGTAGCGTCTTGGTGGCATCTTTTTGCCTGTAAGGTGCGATTTAGTTGAGTTGAGTACGTAAGCTCAGCAAAAACAACGCACTTACGCCAAGTAGGTTTGTGACCTATAAAACATGGAGTATGCACAGCTGCACGCAATCTCCGCTTTATAAATCAGAGACTAACGAGAAAGGCTCTCAGTTGCTTTTTAGTCACATCCCGCCCTCACCACGCCCACTTACTGCCATAAATGGTCAATGCAAAGTGCCTTGTGGGGGGTATTAATATTGAGACTTTTTGTGCTCTACATTTTATTTATTTATTTCTACTCTACAGAAGAAGATTAGAGCCACTGACAAGAGAACACAGACAAGAAAGAGAATTTTTACTTTTATCTCAGTAACCTGAAACTTAAAGAATACCTCAACTCTAAAAATATTAATGTTTTATTTCCCGGTGACTGGAGGGGTTAAAAGATGCGCAGCAGTCGTTTTATTTGTGGACGGAAATGACAGGAAACCGGTGTTTAGAGGTGGCGAGTGCATGAAGAGGTGGAGGAGAATGAGGGACAAATTTGTCCGTGTTAAAAAAGTCTCTAAAATACAAAAAAAATAAAACACACAATATAAACACAATAGTAAAAGCACTATCTTGGACATGACAGGATACCACAGAACAGCGCTACGCCCTCAGTTGATCTGGCGGGGAATTGCTTTGCAACACTCCCCAGGAGACGGAGAAGTATGAGGGCAAATTGTCTCCGTGCGTGCGTGACTCTCCCTCATGGAGCTGACGGAGAAGTATAAATTAGGCTTCACCTTGCATAAAAAGTAAATGAAGTATTTTGCAGTTTTGTAATTTTTCATCAGCATTTTCTATTTGAGGTCTGAAGTTGACTAAGTGGGATTGAGGTCAATTGTTTCTCACAAAACAACATTTAATAACTTCATCCCAGTTTATTAGCGGTGCTTGGACCAATAAATCTGAGCCCCTGGAGTTGTATTTGTGTGTGTGTGTGTGTGTGTGTGTGTGTGTGTGTGTGTGTGTGTGTGTGTGTGTGTTAACTGATAATTAGTCATCTGCGATCATGCCCCAAGAAATTGCTTGTGTTGTCTGTCAGCAGCTTGTTAGAGAGGTGAACAACCATGAAGAGCCTTCTCTCTCTCCCCACACGGCCCATTACACTGGAGATGTATCAGCAGCAAGCTTTCTAAAGGCCGTGGTGAAAGCTCAATTTTCTGCCGATGTTTACTGAACGCCTCATCAGGCTGCATCAAACAGAGCACATGCTAAGCTTGTCAGAACTTTAATGTAAGGGAAAACATGTCTGCAGTAGTTTTGCAAATGTGAGTTTGTGTCTTGGTAATGCTCACTGGCTCTCATTATTACTTTCTGCAGATGTTTTAATACTTTTCAGTTTTTATCAGGTTTTTAAATAGTTGAAATCCATCTAATTACCTGGTCGGACTGATGAGCTAACGACTAGTCTGATTGGGGTCCGTTTTCCTGTAATGTTGAAGCAATTTTAGTCCATAAATAGTTTCATTGCAGTTCATGTGTACATCAATTCTATAAAACTTTACTCCACATAAATTTTTTCATGGTAATTTACATTATTTGTCATGTTCCTCTGTTCCTACTTAAAGGTGCATTATGGAAGTTTGACAGCCAAAACATGTATAGAAATAATACATTCCCTCTTCATACATTCTCCTGCAATGCCCTGGTCCTGTAGAATGAGCCCTGGCATTTTTACTGTGATTGCCTGTTTTTCTGTAAAATCACAGAAAAAGAGAGTTGCTCGGGTCGAGCAGGCTGCTTCATGCGCGTTCACGCTCAGGCATCGCCCGTAGCATTTGCTATCAGTAGCTTTAGCAGCAGAGAGAGAGGCAGCGCCAACTGCTGTTCCTAACGCCTAGTGACGAACCTAGCTACATTTCTGAGGACCCTTAGCTACTTTCTGTAGAACTTTCTTCTAGATATTTCCTGTAAATTAGCAAAAAAAATAGCCATTTTCGCTCCGAACTGTTCTTTGGTTTGGCGTTGTTTCAGCTGTCATCAAGGATATAAAAGTTAAAGATACTTTGAATGTTACTGGTGTGTAGCTTACCTTGTAAGATGTCTGACTCCCATGCAGAAGACCCGGGTTTGATTCTGGATGTGAACATAGTTAATTTAGAGTTTCTTTTTTTACATGAATGGTATATTTTTTTACAGTAAGATGCCCATATTTTTATTTGAGACTCGCCGAACGGCTTTGAATTTACAGATAAAAAAGATGTGGGTTCAACTTTCATTTTGGAACAATTTTTCAAGCAAGGGAAGGGAATGATCTGAGCATGCAGGAGGACTGACCCATCTTAAACCTTTGTCGGCTGTGCTGAAGAGAAAGGTACAGAACCTAATTAATTAATTAATTAGCTGCACGTTCTCCTGTCTTCTGTCCTCCGGGCCACACACACACACACGGGCCTGTCTCAGCTGTTATTTTCGTTAAGGAGTGTGCCTGAGGGGGCAATCGCGAGCATAAAAATTCAGAAGTCCGAAAAGTCCCTTTAATTACCTCTCAAGAATTCAGTTTACTGACTCTAGATCTGATTTTGGCAACATAAATTACTTGTGGTGCTGGCCGCAGTAGCACTCTTATTAAACAACACTAAAACTGAAACAGGCTTTTTTACAGCTGATCAAATGTTTCAGACCACATGCAATTAAAAGGCCCAAAATGTAAAAAAAAAAAAAAAGTGGATTCATTCTCGACTAGTAGAAGCTAACCGTTAACATTAGCAACTTCACCACACGGCAGAAGCTCCTCCAGGCTTGATTTCTTTGTGGAGATAAAACATCCTCGTTGCAAGTCAGTGAAAGAGTTGCATTGCTGCTATCCAACCCAGTAGCCAGGACTGCCAGTTTCGTCCTCTGTTTAATTTTGCGCAGAGAAAGAGTCTGGTAACTCACAGGCAGAGAGGCACATGAGGGGCGGGACTAGCCAGCTCAAAAATAACCAATCAGAAAAAAGACGAAAATGCCTACTGTACCACGCAACGCTGTAGTTTTTTAGCTGTAGTCAAAAATGGCGTCTGGCAACGGCGCACACATCATTTTTTTTAGAAGAAAGGCTTTTAGCTCTTCTACGTGTGGTTTTAAAGACATTCAAGTCATTTAGAACAGAGGAAAGAGCCACAGCGAACTCCGCCGTTGTCTTCGTTGTTTATGAGAAACTGAGCGTCGCCGTGTGTGACTTACGCACTGTAGTTTTTAGCTGTTGTTAAAAAGTGCATTTGGTGACGGCGCTAACATCTTCCTTTAGAAGAAAGGCTTTTAGCGCTTCTGCTTGTTGTTGTTTGAAAGACACGTCCAAGTCATTTAGAACAGAGGAAAGAGCCGCAGCAGACTTCGCTTCAGTCGCCATGTTTATGACAAACTCGGCGTTATGGTGTGTGACGTACGCTGCTCAGCGCTCATTGGCTCGGTTAGAATTCTCAGGGGGTGGGGTTATTTGAATAGGAGAGTTCCCAGACCCTTTCTCTGTGCAGAATTAAACAGAGGAGGAGTATGACAGGCCAGGCTACCAACCCAAGGTGAGATGTCCAAATGTCAGGAAAAAAGACTCCAAAACCTACCGTCTGAAGGGTGACTTCTGAATTGAGTGCTGCACACCTCTGATCTTGATGGTCTTGATAGACTTGATGGTTCTCCTGAGATGTTTTCTACATGCCACATTGGAAGGAGCGTCATGAAGGTCTTCATGAGGTTCAGGGGTGTCAAACGGCCGTTGGCTATGTCCAGATGTTGCAGAGAGCATCCCTCATGCCTGAGGGCTCTAGTCTGTGTGGTAACAGCTGGGTCTTTCAAAAGGACACTGCTACAGGACACAACACCCACAGGACAAGGGCCTTCTTGCAAAGAATAGCATCACTCTTATAGGCCATCCTGCTTTTTGTTCTTATCTCAATCCCACTGAGAACCTTCAGGAATAGATGGCAGGCTAAGTTTATTAAAATGGACAGTTCCAGACAGTTTGTGCGTTCGTCTTCACCACTTGGAGAAACGTTCCCAGTCGCCTCGTGGAAACGCTTGCATCAAGCATGCTGCAACAAAATCGTCAACAGTAACGGTGGAGCTACTCATTGCTGACTTCATGTGTGGAACATTGATCTCTGCTTCAGGGAGTTTTTGCAGGTGTGGTTTTAAATGTTTGATCAGCTGTCAAACAGCCTGTTTCAGTTTAAGTGTTGTTTCCAATCAATTTCACGCTAACAAAATGTTTAGCCTCTCTCCAGTTTCTTCTTGTTGCATGTTGAAGCTCTGCTTGGACCCTTGTTAAGATCCAACCGTCCAAAATGTGATTTTGAGCCATTTTTCAAGTCTTAAACTTTCGATCAGGACTGTAAGCATGAACTTACATTGACCAGTGACTGACTAGCTGTTAGCTTGTCTGTTTGGTCAGAACTAATCTCTGCTTCTCTAAGCAAAGGCTGTTCAAAATGCTTTCTAAAATAGTAAAGATATACATTTTGTTTTTTTAACCTCAGTTTTTGTTTTAAAGACAAAATAAGGTTTCGGTCCCTAAAGGCTCCGCCAGCCTTATTAATGTCATTGCCTCAACAGAGGGGAGGCAGACATACAGGCAGCATTCACAAATTACATTACAGTTCCTCTGAATTATCTGTCTCACTCACACACACACACACGCACACACACACACCTAAAGTCTCTAGAGCTTTCCTGAAGTTGATCGTCTCGGGGGAAATAAGGTTCCTACATGCTGTATTAATTAACCAATTGGGCAGGGGGGGGGGGTATTGTCCTGTGTGGGTTGGTTTGTTAATGAAGTTGGTGAAACGTGACACAACACCTGTTGTTTTCCAAATACAAGGATTTTTGTTCTTCCCGTCTGCCTGTCTGAGTCCTGGGATAAAACAGATGCACAGAAGAGGAGGAGTGGTTCACATTTTCCATCTGTTGACATTCCTTCATTTCATTTAGACTGATGTCCTCGCTCTCTTAATTTTTATGATTAAAATTCACAATTCCTTCATTTCTTCACCCGTTTCACTCAAACAGGAGCGTGAACACACTCTGTTTATCCCTTGACTCCTGCTATCTACCTCGGCTTATCATAAGCAGTGAATTTTAAACAAATTCCCCATCCGCACATGGACACCTGATAGCCCGAGCTCAGGAGAGCCATCAATAATTGATTATGTACCAACGCTAACTTGCTGCGACTCGACCTGCCGAGGTCTAAACAGAACTGTTGAAACGCAGCATCTAGATAAGAGCAGGCAAAATCCAACTGTTGTTTAGAGATCTGGGTGCAGAGGTCAGGGAGCGTTTCACTGTGAATTTAGGCTAATTTATCGCACAAATGTGAAGTTTTCTGAAGCAACATTTTACTTTGAAAGCATAATAATTTAGTCATAATTTTAAAAAGAATTAAAGCAAACTGTAAAAGCTTGAAATCCTGCTCCTTGATAAACAAGTGGCCTTGGTAGGGAATAGTGTGTGTGCACATGCCTCCCTCTGGTGGATGAAAGAGGAACTACAGAGAAAAGAAAGTTTAACTTCCTGAGACCCGAATTTGTATTTAGTGTGATGTAAAATAAAAATCTTAACAGGTTTTCTAGATAAAACTAAAAATGTACGTTTTTACCTAACTTCGATATTAATTGTTTCTAAATAGTAAAAAAAAAAAAAAACAAGGTCTACTTTGAAGAGAATAAAAACTTTTAGAGAAAGACGCCAATGTGGACGCAGGGTCTCAGGAGCTTAATCTGGCAAGTTCTATCATGAAAACCTGAGACAGAGAAGTCCTGTGCATGTTAATTGTGTTTTCTTTATTTTTGAGTATTTGTGGATAAAGTTACAATGTTTAATATTGTTCTTCTTTCTAAAATTCAAAAAACATTACGACCTGTAGAAGACACAAATAACAACCTAAAGCTAATCGCTCAAGCGTAGAAAGCATATGAAATGTGTAAAAGACCGTCTGCACCATGGTCACGTAATGAAGTCATATTCCCTTTGGCGCTGCAGGTGAATGGGGTGAACATCGAGGGCATGAAGCACTCAGAGGTTGTGGCCTTTATAAAGAAAATGGGAGAAGAGACCTGGCTGTTGGTGGTGGATCCAGACACAGACGAACACTTTAAGACGATGGGAGTTGTTCCTACAGTCAGCCACATCAAAGGTAAGAACAGATATGTGAAAACGCTCAATTTGAAGCATTCATTTTCAGCTTTTGGACAATTTTATAATGGCATTGTAAAGGGCGTTGAGCAGAAAAGTAATTTGGGGCTTAATATTTTAATAATCTAAGCTATGATACTATTTGATCTTCAAGAAGAGTACAGGTAACCATGATAACTATACATCTGCATCTTTCAATTCCTTAAAAAGGTAGACAGAAAAACAGAGCGTAGAATAAATTTTGAATAATTTTTTGTGTTTCTGCAATGTTTTATGTTGGTGACAAGGACTCGAGACTTTGGCTGTGGCTACTCTTCACTCTGATTTAAAAGAAACCATTTCTACCGCGGGGGCTGAAAGAAGACAAACATACCTGCATTTTGATATATAAATGGCATAAGTAGTGTGACATTTGAGAGAGTTGGAAGAGTTTGTTTTCAAATGTTTTGGAAAGTTAGAATGTGCCAGGGGCGTATCCGAGGAGTGTCCTGGGCTAGTCTGATTGGCCCCCCCATGAGTTCCATTTAAATTGACTTTACATTATCTAACAAAGTCTTGGGGTTGAACCCCCCCCCCCCCCCAAAAATAAACCTTTCACACTTGAGAATTGGGACACCTCTGCGCACTCACACCCCTGGTTGGGATCGCGCAATTGAAGGGAGCATGTGTGGAAGAGCAAGTGTTGGGATTGGGCCAAAGAAGAAGAAAAACATGGTCGTGGCACGATGTGGAGCTTATAAATTCACTGGAATGCAAAAAATAAGGAGACACCCCCACACCACCAGCACACACAAAAGCATGCTCGTTGGTGCCACCCGTACATAAAAAAGTACCCCGCCTGGGCCACCCCATTTAAAAAGGCCTGGACACGCCACTGGAGTGTGTGTCATCATCACACTGAATGAAACATTTTGTGACAAAATGTTCAAAACTCTTAGACCTGAACTGTGTTTGTGTCAGAAATCATAACAGACACAAAAACAGCCGTTCAGCCGTGTAAAGTCTGTCTGTCTGCGGTCCGTCTGTAGATCTCCAGGTTCTTGTTTGTGTTGCCCAAATCCTTTTGTTGTGTATGTGAAGATCGCTCCTGGTTTGTGTGCAGATTTTGGTTTTAGAGTTAGATTTACTAAAAGTATACACTAATCCTGATTAGGCCACACATTTCAAACCTGTTGGGCTTTTTCTGTGTGGATTTTTCAAAACTGTAGTTAAGATTTGAACCAAAACAGTCGCCCTTAGTAATGAGGGAGCTTTAATAATTACACACTGATGGATTTCCTGTAAGGATCTAAAGAATAAAGGTTAATTAGAGTTATTTTAAACATTTTGCTGTTGTGACTCATTATTTTCTCAGATTATGACGGTCCGCCCATCACTAACGGCTCCCCCAGCCCTCAGATCAACGGCAGCTCCGCCACACAGTCCTTCAGGTCCACTCGCTCTGACCTCAGCAGCCAGGGCAACAGCACACAGGTGGGTGTTGGCATCCATGCATGCTGCTGTCTCTGGTCATCGACATCAAAGTCTGAAACCTCGGCCCTTTTTTCTGCCTTGTATTTCCATTTCCAATGATTCTTTTTGTTCTCTCCAGCTGGCTGACGACGAGGCCGGCCATCTCTTGGACCCGTTTGCTGAGATGGGCCTGAGGCTGAGTGCCACAGCAGCAGAGGAAAAGATGAAGGTCCATGCCAAGGAAAAAAAGAAGGCTCCGCAAATGGACTGGATGAAGAAATACGAGCTTTTCAGTAATTTCTAGGACATTCCTCATAAAAGACACTTCAGGGAACCAAGGACAGCACTTCCTCGCTCCCTTTTGAGTGGACGAGATGACCTGCCTCGGTTTTTAACAGCTTCTCGTCTCCCAACATTAACACAGTTGGATTATCTGAGCTTAAGCCACTCACAGAGATGAACATTCCTACCAGACTGATATAAATGTGCCCAATTCTCACCACCTTTCCTCCAGAACAACCACGCAACTCCTCCTACTAAGAGACTCATTATAGCAGCTATTTTTATATTTAAAGAGTATAAACAGCTATAAGTAAATAGTATCCCATTATCATGGACTGCCTTTAGAAGACTAATGGACACTGTGAAGTTATTGATTGTGGATTTTAGCGAATGTTTGTTTTCTAAATCAGTCAGAAGACAAGCGAAGCTGGCAGAAGATCACTGTGAACGAGTGGAGGCTCTCCACCTCCATCCCATCAGTTCATTCTGTTTGTAAAAGGAAAGGGTGTGTGTGCTCGCTTTAACCAAAACATCGTCTATCTGAGATGCAGAAGCTGAACCACTTTGGAGCAAAAGGTTTGTTTTTAACAGCGTTGAAAATGGAGTAAAGCTGCACCAAGAACTCGGTTGTTATTGGAATCGGTCGGTCCGGATCATCCAGTGGAAGTTTTTTCTGTTGGAAACACAATTTCCAAGAAAATCAGAAATGAAGAGAAAAAATGTGTTAAACAGTGGACAGAAATGGGAATTGGTCTGAATTGGTATTGGCTCCCGACACCAGAATTAGTGCAACCCGACTTTTGGTGTTTGACAAAGAAAATGACCATTAATTTAGTTCAGGTCTAGGCTTCAGGTGCTCTCTAAAACCTCGTTCACACAGAGTGTGGAACGTCCGGAACGATGTGGTCCGGTTTCCAAACGGCCATCCACACCCACTCTGGAACACCTTCTCAGAAGTTCACGCAGTTTCAGCTGGAGCCGGGTACTGATTCAGATTTCAAAAATCGATTTGATTCTGATTCTCAAGGGTTTGAATCGCTTATCACAATCCCACCCAATTCAGTCTGTTCCAATTTGATATTGATTTGGGTCAGTGCTATTTAAATGTTTTTTTATAACTGTTATCTTAATTATATGGGGAAACTCTATTAACCCTTTAGGCCCTGAACCCTAAAATATCCATCTGGACTTTCTAGTTTAACTGTAGAAAATAGCTAATTTATGGATTTATGAGTCGATTCAATTAGATTTTTGTAATTTTCATAAGCATCGACTTCTTGATTTATCAACACATCATCCACTGTGAAGCGGCCTCCCTGTCATCGATAACAACAAGAGGTTGACAGAACGATGCGACGTGGGTTTTATTTTTAAACATCTGGGCTTCACCTCGCTGCACCGTGTCTCACTTCCTGTCTGGCTCACGGCATTTCTTCAACTTCAGGACGATGCGCATGCGGTGTCTGGAAAAAATAGAAACCTTGCCGAATTGGGATGTGCTCGGCACCACAGCCGGTGTAAATGTCCGTCTACACAGAAGCTGCACGGATTCTGACCTGCATCTGTTCTGCACTCGGTGAGAACGAGGCCTAAGAAATCAAACGTTGAGTTAATTCAACCAAGTTATGGTTTCTGGTTCTATTAAACCAATGTTAAGAGTAATAAACATTTACTTTTGACTTAAGCGTATAAACATTACAACTAATGAAACCATTAAATTCAACATTTCCTTTTTCAGAGTGTAGAGTTGGTTTTAATGCTTTAGAGCAACCAACGCTAACCCAGAATACGTGGTTTTATTTAGCTGATAATCCCATAACCAGACACTGATCTAGACTTAATCCGGATGTTATCTTAAACTCCCGAGGGCGGTTTTTACAGATTGAAGAATGCCACGTGGTTTTAACTTAAGAGAAGAAAAATACTTTTGGTGGAAACTTTGGTTTTATGTTTGATTTAAACGCAAATGTTTAAATGTGAAGGCATGATCTGAATGTTGGCCAAGTAGCCTAAACCAGGAATAAGTCAGTATTAAGTATCTTATTTGATTTATTGTATGCTTCATCGCAGAATTACTGAATGTAATTTTAACGATGATTTCTCAGAATGTATCAGCAGCAGAGTTGTGTTTAGTCTCTTCTTCAGGAATGTGAAACAAAATAGGACAAATGAAATAACTCTTGGATTTGACTGCTTTGTTTTGATTAAAAAGACTAAGCGTCCTGTGTGGGATCCATCAGATAAGAGGGCTGCGGGGTGACGAGCTCACATGAAGAGGAGAATCTTGAGAAAGACGCTGGGATCCACGGAGATTACCGGGGATTATTATGCACACGGGAACAGCGGTCGCACACATGCTCACACACACGTTTGTATGTGGAGAAAGTATGCAGCGCACGCTGCGGCCCAACACACGTTACTGCTAACTCGTTACAGTTATTTGTGTCGTCTCAGTCTGAGAAACTCGCAGACGCAGAAACAAGGCAGGTTGCATTTTCCACTAGAGTGACAATCGCATTTTTGAATTGAATAAAATGTTTTTATTTCCCACTTTCCCGTCAGTTTTCTTCCATTTGGGTGTTTTGTTTTTGTTCTGGTTTCCTCGTTTGTTTTTGCCTCTGAGCCCTCGTCGTGTCTTCCTCCCCGTTGAGGATTATGCTGGCGTTCAGTTTCAGGTTCAGCCTGTTCTCAGGGTTCCCCACCAGCCAGCTGCTGCGTGCTTTTTGGAACACAAAGAGGTCAAACGGGGGTCAAATGTCTGTTTGGGTGGGTGGGAGAGAATGTGGTGGAGACGTTCTCGTTGTACTCAAAGGTTTTCTACAGACTAACGCTGTTTTTAAAATTATCTTCATTTAGATTTTTAGTTATTTATCTGAGAATAAATCTTGGACTGATGTAGAGATACACCTCAGACAGATATATGACTATTTCTGTTCTTTCACTGGAGTTTGGTTGATGAACCACCTGATGCGCAACTTTTGTCTACGGATTTAGTTCTCGTTGAGAGGTCCGATTCAGAACCATCTCCTGTACATTTTCCTTTAGCTAAAACAAACATCTCAGTCTAGTTCCGATCTAGCTTTAAAATGTCTGTATTTCTACTTTAAATCCCATTTTTGATCTTCTGGAGTGTAGAAGTTATGAACAACTTACCTGTTGTAGAAAGCTTTGTGACAAACCTCAGTTTGGAGAAATGGAGATTCATCTTTCATCGGACTGATTAGCATGAGCGAGGCAACAACGGGGTCTCATCTTAGCACAACAAAGGTTTCATAATGGTGCATGCACTCGCTCATAAAACAACATCACCTCAAGGTTTTTTGAATTTATCATTACAATCTGGTTCTGACTGAAAAGTGATATCCTTAAGACTTGTTGCTGTTAGGCTGCACCAGAAATCCTGCAGTTGTTGCAAACTGAGGTTGTTCAGAGAGTTTTCTACAGCAGATAAGATGGATGTGACCAGGAACCCACTTCAAAAGTAGAAATAAACCACAAAATCAGTCTGAGGGTGACTTATATTCAGCTTGATCAGCTCGTCAGAAATTTCAAATTCTAAGTTGAACACTCACAAAATGCACAATTACCAAACTATTTTTAAAAACTCATTTTTTGCTTTTGGCGAATGTAACAAAGTGCTAATTTGCTCATGTTAGACCTTTTATGCAGAAATTTTTACTTCAAAAGTCAGAATTTTTAGGTCAGTCAGAGTTTATAAAATGGTGATATACTAGAGATATAGTTCTTTGAGATAAATCGTAATCTGCCTAAATTAATGGAATTAAGTTGGAAACTGGAATCCAAATTTGTTTATTTCAGTGAAAAGACCTGTACGGTGCCATAAAAGGGAGCTGTCACTTGACAAAAATAAACAGGAGCATGCCACGCCCACCACCGCTCATGCTGCTATTAGCTGAGAAGCTCCGATATTCAGGAGGGGGTCGGAGTAGAGCTCCTCCAGCAGCAGCTCTTTGCATATGAGAGGTAGTTCTATCCTAAATTCCCTCTTTGTGACATCACAAACGGGGACTTTTTGAAACGGCTTGTTTTAGGTACATAATTTCTAAAACCAATCGCCGACAGAAAAGGGGTTGAAGGTTTTATTCACACTCTGGAGTGTTTAGTAGAGACTCACATCACACAAGGATGCAAAAGGTCAATTTGCCTAAAATATCCACTTTAATTAACTAATCCACATCCAAGATTTTCCAAGCCATTCCTGATAACTAACCTAACATGTCTATTTTTGGGCGAAGGAGTGTACAGCAGAAATATCAGAGAAAGTTATGAACAGCTGACTGAGACATCCAGGTGATAATCCACTGTCAGTCCACTAGGAGGTGCACTGTTAACATTTAGTGTTCAGGAAGTGGGACAAACCCTTGGCAGCATGAACTTGCTCTACCTGAGCGTTCTGGAAATGCTGCACGTGGCCACATTATCAACCCCTCTGGAGGTTATGCTGAGGCCGGGCAGTGACGCCAGTACATCAAAGAACAGCCACAGTTCAAAGCCGTCTGCAATTTCAGAGCAGTAAAAGCAGAACAGAGGCAGAGAATAGAGCCGCAGGTGGGCACCTTCTGTTTAGCCTGCCTCGGCCGCTGCACGCGTTTCTACTTCCTGCTGATGAAAGATGATTGCTCGTCTCAAACCTCAGGATTCATCGTTGTTTTGCAGCCCCGCCGACTTTAATTTATCAGAGTTTGAAACTGTGTTTTTCCAGGCCTTACTATTACTCTGTCTTTGTGTCTCTTGACCTTTGATCCCGCTCTGATCACACCCACACCTCAGGTCCAAGAGTGGCACGTTTCCTGGTGCCAGGGCTGCCCGGGATGCCTGCAAGGAAAGGGAGAGAGAAACCAGAGTCTGACGGGGAGGGGGGGGTGTCACCATGGCAACAGTGTTTTTGTTAGCGCTTGTGAGTCAGACCAGCAGTGAGTCACAGTCAGGAGAAAACACACACACACACACACACACACAGTCACATTCATACTCGCTTACTCAAAGGGAAGCCAAATAAGGACAGCTACATGCACAGAAACAGGGCAAGAAGGCGGAGGGGGTTCAGAACTACAGAGTGAGATGAATGTTTAATAGTTCAAACCTGGCGGGTCAATAACCAGTAAGACGCAAATCAGAAAAGATCAAATGCATAAAAGGATAAAAGAGCTGTGAAAAGATATGAGAATGAAACGAAGAGCGCCACAGGTGCGGGCTAACACCCCATCCCAGAAGCCTTCACATGGGTGGGGGTAGAGGAAGCACACACACAGACACACCCAGTGTGTGCACACCTTGGCTTAACTCGCTAAACCACCCATTTATTATCTGACGCCGACATGTTTCGAAAGGCCGCCTGGTTATATGCACGACGTGCCTCGGCTTTTTACGATTTGCTGACAAAACGGGAAGTTTCCACATCCTTTTTAGGTTTAAACTTGAACCAAGCTGACTCCGAGTGGAGAGGTGTAATGCATTCATCTAGAGGAAATGACCACATGATTATTCTGGTGTTCATTCACTCTGACGTCTGTGTTCCAGTAGCCGTTTTAAAACTTGTTCCCTAGAAATGGGCGTTTGCCTGTTGTGTCAGCTGAATGTGGCCACATCGGCGTGTGCTCCATTCAGTATGGCTGCCACAGCGGGCTGATACGAGCAGACACAAAAATGGCCGTGCCTTAGTCAGCTGTACAAACATCAAGCCACGATTGAACGGCTTAGTAACTAAAACTCATCTGCGACACATACTTTCAGTGCTAACGCACGACGTATGCCTAAAACAGTTTAGAGTTAGCATCAACACTGCTGACAAAGCACCTCTTGAACACCAATTTTGGATGCAGTGAGGAATCATTGGAGGTGCATCAGATTAGTCCTTTTGGGATTATTATTAAAGTCAGAAATGGCTTTAATCCAAAATGAATTAGGAGCTGTCATGGCTGAGAGTCTGTAAACCCCATCAGATATCAATATCAGACGATCTGAGGGACTAAACAGCAGATGTTTCTTTGAACCGCTGCTAGGATATTTATTTTCCTTTAGAAAACAGCACCGTTGCATGGTAGACATGACTAAATTATTAACACAGATGAGTTTGCAGGTTTCGATTTGTGTGTGAGACCCTCTTATTCTCCCTAGAACCACGTGTGTGTGTGTGTGTGTGTGTGTGTGTGTGTGTGTGTGTGTGTGTGTGTGTGTGTGTGTGTGTGTGTGTGTGTGTGTGTGTCTGTGTGTGTGTGTGTGTGTGTGTGTGTGTGAAGCTGACACAGCACTGATTTATGTAGTTTTTAATCAGTTATGGGCTAAAATAAGGATATTTGTGGTGCACTAGTATGTAATCATCACCCTGATGTGGACAAAACTTTGAAAAGCAGCAACTTTCTCCTGTTTGCACTTTTGTTCTATAGCCCCCTGAGAGCAGGAGTTCAGCTCTGAACAGCCAATCAGAGACCCTCGTGGATGATCCTTCCTGTCGGGTTTATCTAAACAGAGATAAGGCCCCAGATATATCACCTGTCCTCTAACGTCTGTAAGGAGAGGAAGGAAACGCCAAAGTACATATCCACCTGTACACAAAGGTACCGTCAAAGAAACATCTGTAATCTGATGGGTTGTTTTCTTTTAAAGAAAAAGGTCACTACCATGTACAAGAGAGTCTCTCCACAGAGCAGCAGGTGGAGAAAACATTTTTTTAGGTTTTATGAGGAGGATGAATGGGGTCAGAGGTCACCAGTAAATGGGCAGGGCAGCTAGGGGGGCGAGGTGGGGGATGTTTGGGGGCCGAGAAGCTAACGAGGGAGTTTGGAATGTGGAGCAAAGCTGTAAAGAGTACTGTGTGTGTGTGTGTGTGTGTGTGTGTGTGTGTGTGTGTGTGTGTGTGTGCGTGCGTGCGTGCGTGCGTGCGTGTGTGTGTGTGTGTGTGTGTGTGTGTGTGTGTGTGTGTGTGTGTGTGTGTGTGTGTGTGTGTGTGTGTGTGTGTGTTGGTCTACATGTCAAAGTGAGCACCAAAACAAGTTTTTTACCTGCAAACTTTGGACACCAGTAGCAAAGTGAGGACATTTTGCTGGTCCTCACTTTGGGACAATGTCACAGAGCTCTACTCTAGTTTTAGAGGTATGATGTCAATTAAGTTTTAGTTAAGGTTAGGAGCAGACTGGTTATGGTTAGAGTTAGGGTTAGGCGCAGTCCAGTCACTAAAATGAATGGAAGTCAATGACGGACCTCACAACGAATGCTAGAGTGTGAGTGTGTGAGTGTGTGTGTGTGTGTGTGTGTGTGTGCGTGCGTGTGTGTGTGTGCGTGTGTGCGTGTGCGTGTGTGATTAATGGGACAGAGGAAGTCACCCCACACTGTGTCACTGCAGATGAAGCCAGCCGTCGAACACAGGAACAGAAACGCCATGTGGCCACCGATAGGCTTCCTCTTAGCTGACCACCATGAGTGAAGGCAAAAGGAGTCCAGTGTAACTGCTCCTCACAACGACAAACACAAAAAGTTTGTTTTATTTCCTTTTCTTCCTCCTCTGATTGAAGTGGAGTTCCTCTTTCGGT